CCACTCGTCCACGATACGGGGATCTCCCTGCCCGGAAAATTTCTCAGCATGATAGTTGCGAAACAGTGCGACCATCGTGGCCTGAGGAAGAACCGGGTGATCGGGTTCCCTACGGGGCGGCATCTGATCATTGGAAAAAGTTCAAAATTATTGAACACATGAAAAATACTCTAACTGATTTCTAAAGTACACAGATCTCTTGACGAGTTGCCAAAAATGGCTAGAAAGTACTGATATAGATCCTGAAGACGTCTAGAGTTATATCTGAGTACACCGAATTCTAAGGTTTGATTCTGATTTGAGCATCTTAACTAAGTCATGATTAATAATTTCTGAGCATAGGCAAAAGTAATATGTTTATAACTGAAAACATAAATCAGCACTTACCTGTAGTCGGCGAGGCGTGAGCGTGACGGTTTAGGTTTTTTGAAAATTAATGACTGATAAAACTTTTTAGAGACGCGGAAACGTGCTCTGATACCAATTGTAACACCCCGCTATTTTACTGAAATCAGAGTACGCTTTTCGCAACTTTTCTAAAGAAAATAAATAAAATATTTATTTTTGCGAAAACTGATTCAGAGTGTTACCGTGAAAATCTGACTTTTCTGAAAATCGTTAACTTTAATCTGATAATAAAAACGGTTATAAATATATTAACCGACTAGTGTCGGATCAAAAGCTGAGTTAAAGTACTGAAAATTGTAGCGGAAAAGTAGCGTGGCCAAAACATATCATATACATATCAAAACAAATATCCTGAACAGCTCGTCAGCTCACTCCTCGTCCACGACCCTGTGACCTGAAAAACATGAAATACGTGGGGGCGTGAGCACTAAAACACTGTGCTCCACAGAAACTCATACTAAAATAAAACAGTGAAAATAATTACAATATCATGATCCTGGTATATACATAACCTGAACATGAAACCGGTAATATCATGAACATGAACCTGATATCATCACGTGAACATAAACCATGACCGTTACCTCATCTGCCAGCATAAAAATGTCGGACACCATGTGCACACTATAGTGGGCAGACTAAGGCCACTAGAACCCAGAATGGACCGGCGACCATTCCGAGCGGATACATGA